ATACCCAACCCTATGTACTCCCGATCCACCAGGCCAGGTAAAAAAAAACAGAGCAAGCTTGTACTATATAAGCACCCAATAAATTCTGCTGACGTAAACTACCAGTCTATATGTATGCTGCAGCTGTTTTCTCATACTACCAAATTGACACCACAATTACGACCCATATTTCTAGATATATTTACTATACAAGCAAATGATCCAAGCTAATTCAGTTGTAAGGTTGACATTTTATATATCTACAATTAGACACCTACAATTAGACACTTTAACTTTTTCCAGAAACTGAAAGTTGCCGGTAGTATTTTCCTGATGCTGTGACTCAGTTACAATTATCCTGATCATTCTGCACAGTTTAATATTGTTACTTTGAAAACAGTTTAGAAAAATATTACAATACAATACAATACAATCTTTATTGCGCAACAATTGCAACAGGTACAATGTATGGCAAGTATAGACAAGAATAACAATACTAAAATCTACTTCTAAATGACTAACTCTAGACGCTACGCTGTAATTGTGTACTATGAGTTACTAGTATACAACATATATGGAACATGGATACAGTATTAACATCCATTCGAAGTGTCAGAGATGATATGGTTTCTTTTCTGGAAAGCGGAAGATATGAATTGGCCTATATATAAGGATATTGGTTCAGGGCATGACATAAGTAAATTAAAAGTATCTGAGCTTGTTCTAGGTAAAGTAAGGTTTGAGTTACGTGAGATCATGTTCATAAGTGTCAGCCTTTCTTCAGTGTACGTGGGACAAAATAATAAGAAGTGAAATTCGTCTTCAACATTGTGTTTACATGTAGGACAGCGTCTCTGAGTGGCTGGTACATTCTTATGACTACCTTTTTCTATTTCTAAACAATGTGCACTGATTCGCAGTTTGGTTATGTTAGCAACAAAAGATTTGTTTTGGATTGATGAGAGGTACTTCTCAAAAGTGAAGTCGGTTTTGAATTTAATATAGGTTTGTAGTTTACTGTAATTTCTTATGTTTTGCCTCCAGCCAGAAACAAACGTGTCTTTCAGACGTTGTTTGAACACGTTTCCAAAATGCTTGGCGTCAACTGTTGGGTTTAGCCAAATATTTTGGAAACCGTGTCTACATAGCATATCTTGTATATGTATTACCCAGTCCTGTTCTTGTTCTACAGCGATATCGTAGGCTTTTTTAACAATTCTATCATTAGGCAGGTGGTGCAGTCTGAGCCAGTATTTGATGAGCTGAGTTTGGGTGTCAATATATAACGGAACGCTCCTAGTTCTCCCCTTACGGCGGCGGTGACGGAGCTTCTAGGGACACCGGAGAATTATTTTGTAGAAATTCAAGAGAACTTGTTCTAGGTCAGGGTTTTCGTATGACAGTGTAGGTTGCTCTATATATACATTTTGGTTTCTTAATGTTTCCGAGTTATGTACAATGCTTAGTTTGTCACTGTATTTTTTTAAACGGACGAGTATAGGGCGGCTAGAATGAGGTTCAGATTTCTTTCCGATACGATTTGTTTTGAGAATATTTACTTGTGGTCCTAGTATTGGGGATAAAATGTTAGATAATATATTTCGTATATTTTCGTTTGGAGATTCTTCTATTCCTTTCATGATCAGGTCCCTACATTGTATATTTGGGCCTAAAACTTCTCCACAGTAGAGTAGGATTGGTTTTACTATAGTATCAAACAGGTCTAATGCAAGAGAGATGGATGGGTTGTGATTTGTTGATAGAAATGATTTAAGTTTGAAGGAGGCTCGGAGGGCTTTAGTTCTGAGTTGTTTATTGGCTCGTTTAAACGTTCCTGATGGGGTTATGTCTACTCCTAGATATGTGTAGGAGGATGTAATATCTATTACATGGCCCTGTGACTGGAAAGGAGAGCGCCGATTTTTATTTGTTTGTCCATTTTTTGAGAAGATCATTATTTTGGTTTTATCTCTATTGATCGTCAGTTTTCCATGTTGAGCAAAAGTTATCTAATCTTTTTAAACATTCTTTAAGGCCATTTTCTGATTTAGATAAGAGCACGAGATCATCTGCCCAGAAAAGGCTGTTGATGGGAGTGTCCTTTAAAATAACAGGGTCGCAAAGTGGTGAATTTAGTAAGCATGGAAGGTCGTTAACGTATAAATTAAAAAGGAGCGGGCTTAAATTGCACCCTTGTCGAACGCCGCATGTGGACTTGAAGTATGTTGCCAGACCGTTTGATGTTTTAACGCAGTATTCTATGTTTGAGTACATTGTTTGTATGATTTTATAGAAATTCCCCCCTATACCCGATGATAACAACTTGTAAAATAACCCATTTCGCCATTCAGAATCGAAGGATTTCTTGAAGTCAACAAAACATGCATACAATTTCCCCCCCGGATTGGATATTTGTTGATCAATTAGAGTTTTGAGCACAAAGACATTGTCACTTGTACGGAAATTTGTGCGAAAGCCAGACTGAAATGGAGATAATATGTTGTTCTCTTCAAGAAACCGTTGAAGTCGTTTATTAAGCACGAATGTAAACAATTTACCGACGCAGCTAGAGATGGCAATCCCTCTATAATTGGACGGATTTGTCGGGTTAATATTTGAACCTTTTCGAAAAAGTGACCAGTATTATGCTAATATACATAACCATTGTTTTGATACCATATTTTTTGTCCCTTTCCCATACTGATATAAGGCCTACCTTTGCTTACAACGTCGTGTGTGGATAATAATAATGTTGTAAGGATGTACCATTTACCTATCAGGTGCAAGCTATGACAATTCTGACACAACCAGCAAGTGGGCAAACTATCTCGGCCTGAGCAAGAAGATTGCTGTCACTTTCTTCGTCCTACTCAACTTCATATTACTGCCGTATTGCCTAGGTCAGTTGTCAATACACGAATTACATACATACTAGAAATGTAATATTTGCACAGCAGATGCATAATGTCCATGATATTTGCCTTCGCGTAGTCTAACCTACTAAACTACTGCTGTAATAATTCTTATTCAAATACCTTCATATATGTGATGACTGGTGACCAGCCTGTCCAACTCTGCAGAATGTTCCTACATAATGTAACATAAGGTGGTGCTGGCATGGTCAGACGTCTAGTCCAGGTCATTGACCTTATTGGTTTGGAGACAAAGAAGAAGAAACAGAGCAAAAAAAAAAACAATATGTTTTCCTACTGCGAAAGTTAACATAAATATGTTCATTTTTTTTCATAATCCCTGTTTAGCGTTTACTGCGTTCTTGCAGAACTGAGCAAATGTCTTTGCCTCTTTCTGAAACAGTAAAGGTCCTCACTCTCTCTGGCGACGTGGCAAAACTGTCTGTGACACTTTCCGAGCAGAGGGCAACGCTTTCGAACCAGATGAATGCACTGGTTTGGAAGACTGATAAGATGTACCAGCGGCTTAGCAAGACAGAACGTAAGCGTCTGCCTCTGTGTCGTAGATATCATGTTTTAGACCGTTATAAAACGTTATTTTTTTAAGTAGTTTTTTTTTTCATTGTCAGTAGATTAATGCAGATGCAGATTCTGTCATATGCTAAATAGTTGTGAATTTTAAATTTTTAGGTGATATTTCAACCTAAACACCGTGTTTACCTTTCTTGCCAGGGGACCAGGCTAACATGACCAGGCCTACAGGTCCACTCGGACCTTCAGGGGGGAAAGGGCCCATGGGGTCGGCTGGCCCTGTGTCTACCGGGCCTCCTGGGCCTCCAGGAGAAAAGGGGCCCATGGGGCCAGCTGGCCCTGTGTCTACCGGGCCTCCAGGAGAAAAGGGGCCCATGGGTCCACCTGGCCCTGTGTCTACCGGGCCTCCTGGACCTCCAGGAGAAAAGGGGCCCATGGGGCCAGCTGGCCCTGTGTCTACCGGACCTCCTGGCCCTCCAGGAGAAAAGGGGCCCATGGGTCCACCTGGCCCTGTGTCTACCGGGCCTCCTGGGCCACCAGGAAAAAGGGGGCTTCGGGGCCTACCAGGGATCCCAATTTGCCCAACACCGGAACCGTTAAATGGAGGTTAACTCATGCCTTCTTAATCTCCTAGTAGATTCGGTGGGGCAAGGGGACTTTAAGGGGAAATAATTTTCTTTCAATGTGTGTCTGTGTGTGTGCTCTTGTGTAAGTGTCACAGTGCGTATGTGTGTTTGTGTGTGCTTGTATTATGAATGTCACAGCTGTGTGTGTGTGTGTGTGCGTGTTGTGTGCGTGTTGTGTATGAGTTGTGTGTGTGTGTGTGTGTGTGTGTGTGTGTGTTGGTGTGTGTTGTTTGTGTGCATGTGAGTGTGTGTTTAATTTGTGTGTGTTTGTGTGTGTGTGTGTTGTGTATGTATGCGAGTGCCTGTGTGTGCTTGTGTGAGTATCACAGTGTGTGTGTGTGTGTTGGAGTGTGTGTGTGTGTCTGTATTGTGTGTTCGTGTGTTTGTGTGTGTTTGTTGGTGTGTGTGTAATCGAGTTCCTCGTTCGTTCCAGCATCCTCCTCTCCAGGCGCATGGCTGCTGCAGTGCTCGGGCAGGTCCTGGGTTGTGGACTCCGCCGGAACACCGTGGCAGAAAGGAGGAAAGACATACGATGCCGCCAAAGCCTTGGATGGGGACAATACGACCTACTGGAACCCATACGGACTCGCCCGTCACTCCAACAACTGGTACATCGTGCTGGATCTCAATTCGCCCTACACTCTTTCACAAATCTCGATAAACAACTTCGGAGACACCACGCACGACGTTAAAGCCTTCAAGCTGCAAAGGTCGCAAAGTGGGAGTCCGTACAACTGGGAGGACGTCAAGTCCGCCAGTGACGTGCAGAAAGGGAACAAGCGCCAGGAGTTCGGCGGGTTCCAGGGAACAGCGCGGTACTGGAGGTTCGTCGTCACTCAGACCCACTCGGGTTATCAGCCATATCTCAGAGAATTGAACTTGTACGGAAGACAAAATAACGAATGAATGAATGAATATATTTGTAGGGTCTATAGTATCAAAGAACGTCATTGCTAGGGACATGTATTAAACATTCTCCAAATGTTTGGAATATATAATGACGAGTTTTGGATGAGTAGTAATCAGTGACCTGCTGTGATCGAACCTCCCGAACGCCCCACGAATGTTTCAAACAAATTGTCGTTTCAACGCCAGCTTTTTGACGACCAACTCGTAACCATGGTCGGCGGGCGTTCGGCTAGCGTTCGGGGGTGGATGTGTAACCGTTGTGAGATCATTCAAGGGACTGACTTTCCTACAGTATACAATCGAATACATCTATATGAAATAGTATGCAAGGCCATAGACAGTGTTTTTACCTTCGCCAAGAAGGTTATGTTTTCAGGGGCGTTCGTGTGTGTGTCTGTCTGTAAACACGATAACTTGAGTAGGTCTTGATGGATTGTCTTGATACTTGGTAGGTGGGTAGGGCTTGATGAGACCTCAAAATGATTAGATTTTGGGCCCCCTGGCGGCTTGTCATGGTACTGCAGCAGAACTTCCGGTTTTGATATCTCATGATCCAGACATGCTAGGGTGACGAAATTTGGATGGTAGATAGCTCTTGTGCTGGGGATGAAGTCACATAAGTTTGAGCCCCCTAGTTGCTTGCTCTAGAACTGCAGGGGGGTTTAATGGACAAATGTTTAAAGGGGGATAACTCAAGAACCGATTGATGGATCATCGTGATTTTTGGTATGTAGGTAGCTTGAGTGATGCTTGACATAATGATATTACAATTATGGAAATATGGATGTAATTTGCATAATTAATGAGGAAATTCTATTTATCAGCTGCATTCCATACTAGGAAGTTCAAGCTTGTGACATGTTATTAAGAATGAGAGAAACACAGGCAGATATCAATTATGCAAATGAAGACTTAATTTGCATAATTAATGAGAAAATATTATAATTGCATAG